CTAAAAACCCGTTAAAACTTTAATAAAACTTGATTTAAAAAGTTAATTTAAAAACAAGCGAATTAATACAATTGTTCTTTATATATATATATATATATATATATATATATATATATATATATATATATATATATATATATATATATATATATATATATATATATATATATATATATATATATATATATATATATATATATATATATATATATATATATATATATATTTATATATATATATATATATATATATATATATATATATATTTATATATATATATATATATATATATATATATATATATATATTTATATATATTTATATTTATATATTTATATGTATATATATTAAATATTTATATGTATATATATATATATATATATATATATATATATATATATATATATATATATATATATATATATATATATATATATATATATATAATATATATATATATATATATATATATATATATGTATATATAATTATTAGTTTGTAAATTAGAGTTATTATCAGTTTCTTTATTCCGGCACCATGTTTCTGTTAGGCATATAATTTGAAAATTTATTTTGACTCTAAATAAAAATTCCTTTAGTTTATTCAAATTTATTTGTGAACTCCTTATATTTAGATGCAGTATGGATAGTGCTTTATCATCTATGTTAGCAAGTATTGTTAAAATGTTTGAACTGTAATAAAAAGAGCTAATATTTTCCATCCCTTTCCCTACCTTATAAAAGCTAGTAATTGATTCAGAATTTTTTTATGGAAGTATATTTTTGTTTATTAGAAAAGCTTTAATCTTATTTATATCATTATTATGGGATGTGTTGTTTTTAGCAATAAAATTAGATAATAAGTTTGTTTCCGTTTTAAATAGGAATATAAGCAATAAAATTAAAATAAAAACGTAAACTTTTTACTTTTCTTCAAAAGTCCAGTCACGAATGATTAGTTTATCGTACAATGTGGCTGCGTATTTGCCGCCTTCTCGTTCTTTTTTCAGTTGTTCTCGAAGCTGTTTTCTAATAATTGTAGTTTCAGTGCAGTAGTCTTCATTGATGTAAATATTTTTCCCTTTAAATTTTTTCGCCTGTTTTAAAATGTCTACTTTGTCTTTATAGTTTAGTAGTTTGACAACTATTGGTCTTATCTTATGTGTGCTTCTAAGTCCAGTCCTGTGACCCCTCTCAATTTTAATATTTTTTAAACCAAGATCTTCAAAAAGTTTCTATGCCTTCGATTCACTGACACTCCAATTTTTTTTTCTTTTTTTTTTATGCCTTCTATTCTTAGGTTGTTCCTTAGTGAGCGATCTTCAATTTCTCTATGTTTACTTATTGTATTAAGTATTTCGCTAATGCCTTTTATTTTATTATTTAATTCTTTCGTTTTTTTCTTTAGAACTTCAAATTTATTGGTAACAATCTCTTCAATTGTTTGAATAGCTTTGATAATATCGCTGCCATCAGCTGCTAGAGACATAACTTTTTTATTTGTTGTTTCTAATTCAATTACAATGTTATTGATTTTAGTTGAGTTTTTGCTTCCGACTTTTACATTCTTTTCTAATCGTTCAGTAAGTACTTTCATATTTAATTACAATAATTATTCAATTTATTGTAATTAAATATGAAAGTACTTACTGAAAATTTCAAAATCAAATTACAATAACAATTATTTTGAAATTATGATTTTCTTAACGAATATGAAATTTTAATCAATTTGATGTTTAACTTTTTAAAATTTGACCAATATCCAGTATCATTAGAAATAGGTGGATTAAAAAGTCCTTTTGACAATACTGCGCAACAGCTTTTCTTCAGTTTGATTAAATATAAAGTTTGTTTGACTTTCATATTCAATAATTTCAAGCTTTACTGCATCACCCTATTGAAATTGAGTTTTTCATTATAGCATAATTTCATATACTTTTTTTTATCAAAAAACACTGAAAACCTTGTACATTAAAATCAAATATTGAACTATGTTGTTTTTAATAAAGAACCAACATATTAAGTTTACTTGTTTGGTTGACATTTATTCATATACGCTTTCGTTTTTGTTATTTGCAGAGATTTGTTAATTGAGTAATAATTGTTATATGTATGAGGTTTGATGTTTTTTTGGTTTGCTGGGTTTTTTGGTTTTTTTGGTTTGCTAGGTTTTAAAAATATTTTTATTTAAAAGTTTAGTTATTTTAGTTTTATATTTTAGTTTTAAAATTTATATTTAAATCCTTTTTTTTTTTTATCTTTTGACAAAATGTTTATAGTAATGAATTTATTTAAAGTAATGAGTTATTATTAAATATATGAAAACTATTATAAATTATTTTAATAAATTTATATAATTCGCGACAGTTTTATTCTAAGATTCAGATTTTTTTAGATTATATGCTTAAAAACAAATTTAAAGAAAATTAGGTTGTTGATTTTTAAACTTAATCATATTTAATTTGTTGATTTCATTTTCAAATATCAAACCTAAAATTTTTGGAAACCATATATTTAACAAATACTAATATTTCGTTGACTAAAGTGTGTGGATATATTTATTTATTTTGTATTTTTTGTATTTTTGAAATAAACACATTAACTGGCAATAAAAATACTCCAGTGAGAATAAAAGGTCAAGCCGTTGTTGTAACTTGGTTAGACTTTGGTCGTGACGCAAGTTAAATAAATTCCAACGATGTTTCGACGCATGCATAATAGTGTTATTCTGACTTTTTTTCTATCAAAACATGGAACAACGTCGGGTAAAAGTTAATATCTAACGTCTTAAATGTTAGCATTAAAATGACGTTGGAACAAAATTGGTTGTTTAACGTTTAAAACCAATGTTATGTTAACTAACTTTAGAGCAAAGTTGCTTTTTTATTACTTTTGGCATCAAAGCAACGTCAGCATTTTAACGTAAACACAAGTTGATTTTACCAATCAAAAAACATTTGCGCATTTTAAATTAGTTAAAAAACCGTTATCAAAAAAAAATGCTATTTCTAATCTGGTATTTAGGCAATATAATCCGTAAAACTTATATTTATTATATTATTTCTTTATATTCTACAGTCAAATTATCTAGCAATTTTTTATAATTTTAATGATAAAGAAAAGTTACTAAAACTCTATTTGATTTTAAAAAGTCTTTGAAGTTTTTGTTATGCTTTTCCATACTTTGTATATTTAACACATAGTATAAATTATATAGTAAAAATTTCTAACTTATATATTATTTCACATAATATTTTATTTAAAAATAAATATTGCAATGATAATTTTTTTAAAATACTCATTATTAAACTATTTAATAGTTTAATTAAATGTAAATAAAAGTACTTAGTTTATTTTTTATGACGTTTAATTTAGCTGTCTTAATACATATTATATTTTTATTTGAAGGTATAAATTTTTTTGTTATTTTTAGTTTCTGGTGAAACTAGTTCTTAACTAGATATTACCTATTAACTTTCAATATAACTTATGTAATGTGTTTCTTTTACGAATTTGTCTAGTAGTATTTTTTAATCAAAGATTAGTATTTTATTTTTTTGTAACTTATTGGAAAAAAGGGATAAAGTTATACTATTTGTACTGGTATCTCTTTTGTATTTTTTAATACAATTATAACAGTGCTTTTAGTAACTACATTTATAATGATTAAAAAAAACATTCATTAAATATTACATAAAGTAATGATTTGCTTTCTTATACAGTACAAAGATATACAATGTATTAATTTTATATTTTTCAATATTTTATAAGTTAACATATATAAATACAAAAACCTTTTAAAAAGAAATAGTTGATTTGTATAAACCTCAAACTCTTAAAAACTACTATTAAAAACTTTATAACATGCTATTGCTACAATATTATAACTGACACTGACTCTCACAAACTAGAGTCTCAAGTCACAAAAAAGGGTAAAAAAAAATATTTTTATGTTTTTGTTTTAGGCTATTTTTATTTTTTTTATTTTTTTATTGTTGTTTAACTCCGCATTACTATCAGGGACATGGTGGAAATAGAAATCAGAACTCTCTGGCTATGAAGCAGGCAAAAAACATCTTCTACAGAAAAAGCAACAGAACATGTAAACCCACCAGAATTTAGTCATAATTAATAAAATATTGATTTGAATCAGTAAAAACTCAGTGCTTCTTTATACACACTCAATAAATTTTATTATCCTGTTATTAAAACAGCAAATAATTGACAACCATCTCATTAAAATCAATACAAATCATTTGCTGTTACAACTTATGTCAGCCAGTTTATAAATAATTGTAAAGATTTTAAATTACTTGCAACGTATTAACGTTGTAATTGCATAGTTCAAATGTTTTAAAATTTTATTTTCAATTTACAATGCAAAATTTAGTGAATAAAAATGTTTTTGTAGTTATAATTTCCATATATATATATATATATATATATATATATATATATATATATATATATATATATATATATATATATATATATATATATATATATATATATATATATATATATATATATATATATATATATATATATATATATATATATATATATATATATATATATATATGTATAAATATATATATATATATATATATATATATATATATATATATATATATATATATATACATAAATATATATATATATATATATATATATATATATATATATATATATATATATATATATATATTTTTTTTTATTGTTTATTTTGCCGTTTAATAATATACAGTTTCAAACCATATAAATAAAAATAAATATTGGCGGGGCAAGAAGAAGACTTATTTAGCCTTATCACCGAGCCCCATTGTCACGAATTTACAAAAACCGTAATATTTAAATATCTATAGTTAACAAACTATTTATTAAAAAAATAAAAATATAAAAGTAAAATAGAAAAAAAACTCGTTGTCATTTACAGAAAAAATAAAAAGAATCAATAAAAAGAATCAAAATTTAAAGAAAGAGTAAGATCAAGTGAAAAAA